TTCCCAATCCCTCCTTCCCTTTCACTTTGTTAGGCTCCAACCCTAGACTGGAGCGTAACACACGTAAGCCCAAGCGGAGGCAACTGCTTCATATAAATCTAAGCAACGTTAATAAAATTATTTTACTGATGTATATTGCAGTATGTAGCCTGTCACTCTCTGACAACAGTTATAGATAATTTGAGTTTGCGATTATATCGACTTAGAAGAGTTTGCACACGTTTAACCAGTTAGGCGGTAGTAGACGCAAATAAAACCACAAGGAAATTCATTGTAAACAAAACACGGCAGATATTTTGGCGCGCTGGAGAATCGCGATCAATTTCTCAGAAATATCCAATCATTAGTTTACAGTAATTCAATATGTTTTTTTGGAAAATTACTGTAAACTACACAAATGAATTTCTCCCACTTCAAAGGTTGTAGTAGTTGCCAGAGGTGCCCCCTGACTTACTACAGGTGGATTTTCTCAGAAATATCCAACCACAATCGCACAGTAATTCAATAAGTTTTTTGGAAAATTACTGTAAACCACACGAATCGATTTCTCCCATTTCAAAGGCTGTAGTAGTTGCCAGAGGGGATGACTGACTTACTACAGGTGGACTTTTACAGAAATATCCAAGCATGAGTTTACAGTAATTCAATATGTTTTTTGGAAAATTACTGTAAACCACAAAAATGTATTTCTCCCATTTCAAAGGTTGTAGTAGTTGCCAGAGGGGATGACTGACTTACTACAGGTGGAATTTCTCAGAAGTATCCAACCACAATCGCACAGTAATTCAATAAGTTTTTTGGAAAATTACTGTAAACCACACAAATGAATTTCTCCCACTTCAAAGGTTGTAGTAGTTGCCAGAGGTGCCCCCTGACTTACTACAGGTGGACTTTTACAGAAAAATCCAAGCATGAATTTACAGTAATTCAATATGTTTTTTGGAAAATTACTGTAAACCACACGAATGGATTTCTCCCACTTCAAAGGTTGTAGTAGTTGCCAGAGGTGATGACTGACTTACTACAGGTGGAATTTCACAGAAATATCCAACCATGAGTTTACAGTAATTCAATATGTTTTTTGGAAAATTACTGTAAACCACACGAATGGATTTCTCCCGCTTCAAAGGTTGTAGTGGTTGCCAGAGGGGATGACTGACTTACTACAGGTGGAATTTCTCAGAAATATCCAACCATGAGTTTACAGTAATTCAATATGTTTTTTGGAAAATTACTGTAAACCACACCAATGGATTTCTCCCACTTCAAAGGTTGTAGTAGTTGCCAGAGGGGATGACTGACTTACTACAGGTGGAATTTCTCAGAAATATCCAACCATGAGTTTAC